AAGGGGCTCCAGGAGAGCTGGAGAGGGACTGGGGACAAGGATGGAGGGACAGCACACAGGGAATGGCTTCAAAGCAGGATTTGATGGGATTTTGGCAATTAGGAATTGTTCCCTGGGAGGGGCTGGGATGGAATTCCCAGATTTGCTGTGGCTGCCCCTGGATCCCTGGCAGTGCCCAAGGCCAGCTTAGACATTGGAGCTGGAGCACCTGGGGTCCCTCCAACCCAAACCAATCTGGGATTCTAAATATTCTCCATGAAAATGGAACTTGGAGATGTGTTCAAAATTACACACTTTGAAGGCACCACAGGCTGTAAAAAGAGGTTTATGCCAGGCTCTCCTCATTCTTTCAGCCTGGTCGATGGCACCCAGGACACTTCTGTCCTTCCAAACCTAATCCCAGAATCATCCAGGGCTGGAAGAGCCCTCCAGGATCAGCCAGTGCCACCTCAGCACCAGCATCACCCCAAGCCCTGTCCCCAAGGACATCCAGACTCCTCGGGGACAATTCCAGACACAGTGACCCCAAGCCTGCCTGGGCAAATCATTGCAGTGCCTGTCCCAAAAGATCATCCTCGCTGTGCTCAGCACTGCTGAGCCTTGTGCAGGGCTGGGAGCAGGGCTGGGGACAGGCAGGAGCAGCACAGGGAGCAGACTCTGCCATGAAAATAAAGTTATGGGCTCTGGGGAAAGAGGTGTGCTGGCACAGTGATGACAAAGCAGGGAATGAATCACCTGCACTGTGTCCATGAGGGAGGTGAGAGCAGCACTGCCATAAAACACAGATATGGAAAGTTATTTAATGTTGAAACAAAATAAAACAACAAAAAAGATACAGGTGATATTGTCTGGGAAAGGGGATATTAAAAAAATCCCTTGGCAAGGGGTAGATGGATCTGATCTCTTTTGGCTCCCTGGGTTCCTTCCTTCCTGCACTGCTGTTCCTACACTTTTCACACAAGATGAAATGCTCTATTTGCCCCTTTCATCCTGGTCCAGAGCTGACATGAGAAGAAACCACCAAATTACATCTCCTTTGTCTGTCAGCCAGCAGAAATAAACCCAGCAGAGCCCAAAGGGCCTCGTTTCCTCCATCACAGGAGGGTTTGGGGACAGATATCAATGGTCACAGGAGGGTTTGGGGACAGATATCAATGGTCACAGGAGGGTTTGGGGACAGGTATCAGTGGTCACAGGGACACACTTTGTCCTCCCCTAGCTGCCTGTGCTCTGCAGATAGCATTTCTCACAGCCTGGGCAGCACAGGCTGCTGCTCCTTTCTTCTGGAACACCAGTGAGGAAGTTGTATTCAAAGGCAGCAGAAGATAAACTGTAAATATTGAGTTATAAAGTTATAAAATGTTTCCAGCAGTGCCAGGCTGGTTGAGCAGTTGTGGTTCATGGTCTACGTGGCACCGTGGTTACTCTGATGTGTGGTTACACGAACATGCCATAATCACATTTCCTTATCAGCCTGGGGCAGGAGGTAACCAATGCTGCCAACATGGGTCTGGCTCAGGATCAGCAATGTCCCT